CCAAAAGATAAAAAGTATGTTCTCGATTGTATATTTCCTTCAAAATTGGTAAAAAGTTACAATTATTCCAGATATAACTATCGTGTGTACTTCCCGGATATTTACATTTAGGTGGATTATTTTTAAATCACTGTCACATATCTAAAAAATACATGAAATTATAACTAAATATATAAGATATCTGACGATAACTTAAATAACATTTCTGTGCACATTAATTCTTCAAGCATAACAAATTCCAAAAGAATGTCTTGAGAATGATATTTATACATTAATAACTTATTAGTTGTACATTAATTGAGTGATAACCTTTTCTATTCACATAAATATGTTCCGGAAATTGTGGATGATGCTTGGGAGGTGCAACTATTGTCACTATTGCCACGTGAGTACAATCTATGCGTCCTATAATTCCAGGAAAATCATATTTTTCCCAAAATCTGTATAAAATAATTTAATAAATTTTATTGAAAAAGATATCGATTAATATAGCTCATCAAACTCTTCCACAGAGAAAATTTCATATATACAGAATATCTGACGCAAAACACAATAGATTCATATGTAGATAAAGCACACCAAACAAAATCATTTTGCAAACAACCACGACGTAAAATCCGAAGATTAATAGAAAAACATTTGCGAATCAATGTGCACAATCTGGTAAGGCGGCTCTTCAGTTTAAGTTTCCTTCAAAGTGTCTCAACATATTGACAACTTTTTGAAAACGGCGAACAATACATACTACTGGACAGTCTTATAATATACATTTGCACTGTTTAGTTTTGCACTATCACTGATACCAAAATATTGTCAAAAGATTCAGATATCTTGAATGAAAGTCCAGTTATACAGTTCTTTCTATCATATTACATGTATTGATTCGCTAATCTTCTTCTATTAATACCTCAGAATATTATGTATTTCTTCGAGAAATGATAGAGTACTTTTTGTTTTACATATTTCATCTGTAAATAGTGTTGCCGTGTTTTGCGTTAGATACCTTGTATATTAAAAAAATATTTACCTACCTCTTATCGATCTAACTTCTGTTAAAGTTGAAGAGTATTTAACCCATCTACTTAATTTTATTTATTATATGGTTGATTATGGTTTATTTATTATTTGGTTGATTTAAAGCTCTTGTTGTTGTATCAATGCATCTGCTCACATATAGCTGACTGATAGCAGAATTAACATTAAGACTTACAGTATGTTTGATAAGAGCGTGTACGGCAAAACTTTTTTT